CTTGGAAGTCTGGGCACTGGAGAGTATCACATTAATGGGTAAGTGGGAGTGACACAGGCCAGGTCGGGGGAACCTCCGGTTTCAATCCTTTGGGAGCTACTAGTTCCTGGGGGGGTCCCTAATTTTTATTTACCCCTTACTTTACGAAGGATTCAGGACCTGGCCTTTCCAGGGTGTTTTTCATCTTTCCCTTGGGGTGACAGTGGTCGCGGGGGCGTGGCAGCCGGACCTTTGCCTTGCAGACTTGAAGGCGCGGTGAGTGCAGATTCTCGCTCAGCCAGGCTGTCCTCGGAAGGAGCTTCAGGCAGCCGATCTGATCTTCTCGCCGCTCTGCCTCACCGTTTCTCCGTAGTTCTTTTCGCTAAATGGTCTTTCCAAACGTTGCCACTCACTCCTGGTACCCAGCGGCTGTCTGTGTCCGACAGCTTATGGAAATTCCACAGTGCCCAGAGAAGGGGCGGGTTCCGTAGCGGGGTCCTACTGGCTGCATCCTCTACCTCCGCCCGCCGCCCTCCTCTACCTGCCTGCAGGTGCCTCAAAGGGCTCAGTCCCGACCCTGGCAAGCCTACGTTCGACGCTTCTAATAGCTTCGTTCCAAAATGAAAACAGAATGGTGTGTCATCGATAATGAGTTAAGAGATGAAAGGATTTGAAAGCTGTGAAATCGCATAGTGATACTTCAAAAAAATATGACATTGGCATTTACTCTTGAGCTTTTTAGACACATTAAAAAAAAGGCAAAAAGACTAATGACTTGTCTGTCAGTCACAACATTCAATAATGACATATTCTGTAGGCAAGTGGCATTCTTGGTAAGCAAGGAACAGCTCTATCCTTAAGAGCTAAGTATTGCTTATTTGGTGTTAGAAGCTCTAGTCGGCACTTCCCCCTTAGTGCAGTCTTGTAATTTCGGTAATGAGGCACCCACATCCATAGAAATGAAGGCTTTATTGGCATAAGAAATTTTGTTAATAGATATTAAAGAAAGAAAGAAAACCGCAAGTTCAGATTCTAGTTATTTGCCCAACTTTAGCACAATTTTTCTAAAAGCTGGGTTAAAAAATAGGCTTGCGAATGAAAAAAAAATTCCTCTGTTGGGCAACTTTAAAGTGTCTGAATAGCATTTCTTTTATTTAAAATAATTTATGAGCCCTCCAGCCTTTGATGTAAATTAATTTTCAGTGAACAAAACAATCTCATTGGGTGAGGCACCTTCAGGGATAATTTTCCTGGGCCATAACGTCTCCTTAAGGGAACTGCAGTGACCCTATGCAGGTCTTAAATAAGAAGCAGGAAGTTAGTACTATAGAAGAAAAAGGAACAAGTGATATATGAGTTGTTGGGGCTACGTTTTATTTGGTTAACAAATTTATATTGAACCATTTTAATGTAGTTGCCTGGATTAATGGTCTCAGATGTAGTATGTGTGTGTGGCAGAGGAGTGGAGCACAAGATGATCCAATCAGATGTGGAAAGAAAATATTAAAACTTCTATTTGCTTACCGTTTAAACCTATTCTATTTAAAAATTTTTTTGTGAATTTTATAATGGAGTAGTCTATTAAGATAGTAATACATATGTGGAAAATATATTGAGGATGAGTGCACAAATATATTTTATGTACATATTTTGCATACGTAATTTACCCAAATATATTTCACATATATTTGATGTGTGATCAAAAAAGTTTAGAGGCCAATGGCCTAGAAAATGCCACGTATATAGGTGATAAATATTTAAGAGGTTTCTTTCCGTGAACATAACTAAAATATTTTATACTTGTTGAGCATAATTCAACAAGTAATGTTGAGAGCCAGTTTGCTCTGTAATGACCTCTGATCTTTATTTTTTCCTTCCAAGAGCCTAAGCTCTTAGTAATGAGACAGTGTTTTTATATATAAGATAATTAGAGAATAATGATAAATATTGTTATTAATAAAGCTGTATCGAACAGTTCCTAATAACTATTTGTAGATGCACACAGTATTGCTGAAATCCATTAAATATTTAATATTTTAAAGCTGGATTTTAGTCAATTATAAATTCATTTTAATTTCTAGAATGTGCAGATGTTAACTTCAAAGGTTAAGAGTACCTTTTAAATCATTCTAAAGTCCTCAGCTCATTCCAGTCTACCTTTATCTTCTCCTCTAGTGAAATTTATCTTGCTATCTTTACCAGTGACCTAATTATCAAATCTGATGCCTGGTATGGTACTTGGCTTATTGTAGGTACTTAAGTTTGCTGGATGACAACTTAAAATACTCCTTTATCTCTTGAACTTCCTTCTTTTGTACTGCTCTTATTTTCTTCTGATTCTCCTACTTCTCTGATGTATTTCTTTTTGGTTTCCTTTCCTCTTGCCTTTTTCCCCTAAAATGTGGATATCCTCAAGATTCTCCTTTGATCATCTTTCTTTTGTAGCTCTACATGATATTGGATGATCAGTCAAGACTCCTGTCCTGAGTTCTGACCCATATTTTTAACCATCTATAAATCAAAGCCTCCTTTGTGTACCCTAAATACTATAAATTTAACATGTTTAAAACTAAAGTCACTACACATCTATTAGAATGGCTACAATTAACAACAGCAACAACAAAAATCTTGACAATACTAAGTAAAGACAGGATACTAAGCAACTGGAACTCTGATACATTGTTCATGTAAATGCAAGATGGTGCAGTCACTTGGGAAACTGGCAATTTCTTATAAAGTAAACATATGCTTGCCATATTATTCCTCAGTCCTACTCCTAGATATATACCTGACAGCAATGAAAACTTATGTTTTCACAAACACTTATGCATGAATATTTACAGCAAATTTTTAACCACTAAAAACTGGAAACCACCACAAACTGGAAACCACCCAAATGTTCTTCAACTGGAAAATGGATAAACTGGGATATGCCCATACAGTGGAGTACTATTCAGCAATAAGAAGGGGCAAACTATTGATAGATGCCAACAACATGGATGACTCTAAAATACTATGCTAAATGAAAGAAGCCAGATTCAAAAGACTACATAGTATATAATTCCATTTATGTAAAATTCAGCAAAAGACAGAACTGTAGGGATAGAGAACAAATCAGTGGTTGCCAAGTGCTAAAGGTGGGGGGAGGCTAATAGCAGAAGGATGAGGGAGTTTTTTGGAGTTTAAAGAACACTTCTATGTCTTGATTGTGATGGTTGTATGTCTGTTCGTTTGTTAAATTCATAGAACTGTATATTAAAAGAGTGATTTTTTAAATTTACATTTAAAAATATACAGTTAGTTTAAAAATAGATTTAAAATAACTGAATTCATTATTCTTGTCTCAGAAACAAGCTGGCAAGCAAACAGAACAACTGCTGCTCTGATCCTCTGTATTCTCTGTCTTGGGTATTTTGTCATACACCGAAATGTCTTAAGCTAAAAGTCACAGAGTCATCCTCAACTCCCTTTTCTTCCTCATCACATGTCTGGTAAATTCATTTGGCCTCTAATGCTTGTTGAATCAATTTCAGAAATGTTTCTGGAATCCATCCTGTCTTCTATATTTCCATTGTAGCTACTTGTTTAGTTCAAGTCTTCATCATCTCTTTTATTTCTCCCAGGAATATTAGAAACAACCTTCTCCTTCACTTCTTTAATTCTGCTCCTTAGGATCAAGTCCAAATTTCCCAGCTGAGTTATAGGAACCATATGTGTTCTTATCTACCTTTATAGTTTTATTTCCTGTCCCTCTTGTTTAGGTACACTGAATTTCTTACTGTTCTGTGGTTATGCCAGACTTCTTGAAAAACTTTCCATATGTTTTCACTAAATGGTTTTTGCTTCCCATTTCTCTTTCTGTTCTCTTCCCTGGCAACTTCCTGCTCATCCTTTAACATAAAATAACCGTGAAGCTTGTAGAGCTCCCTAAGGCACAGTTAGTTGCCCTGTCTTCTATGCTCTCACAGGACTTAATGCATATGTTCAGTGTATTTTACTGCTTACAATGAAATTTGCCAATTCATTAGTCTATCTCTTCTACATCAGGTACGGCAGATAGATGCTGACCTCTCCTCTTGTGTTTACTTCATGAGCTAATTGATCACAACATTGTCTCTGGTTGGACATGGGTATGTCCTCCGAATTTATCAGACTAACATACTAGATACTCAAGAATTATCTCATGTTAAATTCAAGTTGAGACCCTGCTTTAGACTGATTTTTTTCTTGATACGTAAATCCAGAATAGGTTATAATATCAGTATTTTGGTAGTCATATCAGACTATACTATTGATATAAAAATATCAGTAATGTTACATTATTAAAAAGTTTATAATTTACTTTCTAAAAGTAAGACTAGTACATATATTTCAAATGTAAAATTTCATATTTATTTACAATATTATATATACTTAAAATATTTGTGTAAATGTTAATGTTTTAAAATATATTTGTAATAGAACTATTTAAAAATAAAGTATACATATATTTTGGTATTTGAGAAGAACTAATTATACTGGAGTACTGAAAACTGGTATTGCAGTTATAACTGAAGCCATGATTCTTGTGGCCTTAGTTCTTAAGGCAGTGCCTTAAGTGAAAGAAGCCAGACCCCAGTGAGTATTTGAGGTGTGCTTATTGAAGCCTAATAACCATATTTCATTAAAAATAAGATGATACTATGTTGGTTATTTGCTGACTGACAGTGATATAAGATGCTTCAGAAAGGTTAAAATACTGTGGGGGCGTAGGGGAATGGGGAAGGTTGTTGCATCTTAGAATCAGTAAAATAAGGGTAAAAACTTTGTGTTTCAACCAGAATTTTTTATTTAATATGTTATTTCTAAAATATTTGGTCATTTTGCTCCAATCTTGATCCGAAAGTTAGGGAATTATTCTTTGTACATAATTTTCAGAATGGGTTTTATTGGTCTATTTAATCAGCAAGACTCAATTTAGTTGCCCTATAGTGTCCTGTGAATTATCAGTCTGTTTTCTTCTCTCCTTCCCTTAAGATGCCATGGCTAGTCCAGGGAAAGATAACTATAGAATGAAAAGTTATAAGAATAAAGCCCTAAATCCTCAAGAGATGCGTAGACGCAGAGAAGAAGAAGGAATACAGCTTCGAAAACAAAAAAGGGAAGAACAAGTAGGTGTTTTTAAATATTTAATTTTGTTTAA